ATGCAAGTAAATACTCCAAAAAATGACAAAGTTCAACTATCTCCCAAAAGAGCAAATATCCATAAAAATCAAAACCCTGACCACATGCACACCCTCGATATATGTACAAACAGCCAGCAAAGTGAAAACTTCCTAGCATTCAAACTGTAGGAGGAGTTATCTGGAATAACTATATACCCATAATGGGACAGACGGATGGAAAGGACGGAGGGACGGACAAAGGGTCGGACGGACTGACAGGGGTAAAACAATATGCCCCCCAACTTTCAGTTGTGGAGGCATAAAAAATGTTTTTTGTTCTTTAAAACATTTGAAAATTATCTTACTAGAGAGTTGAAGACTTGAGAGCAATTTCCGATATATTTAATATTTCCAAGGGAAACACATTAAAAATAGTTGATCGGCACTTATTTTTGAAATTGTCTGAGACATTGCTGTTATATACCTTGATATGAATTTGATAAAAATCTGGCAAAAATTGCACTTACAATGCAATTTTCCAAATATTCAATGTTTCCAATGAGTGTAACTCTTTTAAACATAATTGATCGGCACTAATTTTCGAACTTGTTCAAGACATTGCTAATATTAACCTATGATATAAGGCGTTGCCCGGGGGACAATAAATGACCAACTGCACAAGTTTGCTTAGGAATATTTGCAGATAACTGACATAGCATTTTGCATATAAGATATGACTAAGCTGCATTTAAATTCCGTCAAATGCATATAAAGTAATAGAACAGAGTTCCATTGTCCCCTGTGTTGCACATATTTTATTTGTCCAAGGACAATAACTAAAAAAAAAAAAAATATTCACTGGATAAATGAAGGTTTAAAAAAGCAATTTTCTATACAATTAATATTCTCAAGGGACATAATTCTTTAAACAAACGGAGAATGTGTCCCCATGGACACAGATGATGCCCCCTCTTGCATGCAACATTATAAAGGGACATAACTGAAGAACAATAAAAGTGACGCTACCCAAATTTGAAATTGATCTGAGTTTTAAGGTAATAAGTATTGTGTATAGGTTTCATAATGTTTGGTTGGGGCAAACTTAAGTTACAGAACGGAAACTAAAAATTTAGCAATTTTTCGATTTATAAAGGGGCATAACTCGATAATGATTAAAGTGACGCTACCAAAATTCAACTTGATCTGTGTTTTGTGGTTAAAAGCACTGTGTATAAGTTTCATAACATTTGGTTGAGGCAACTAAAGTAAGAGAACGGAAACTAAAAATTTTGCATTTTTTTCCATTTATAAAGGGGCATAACTCAAGAATGGTTATAGTGACCCCACCAATATTCAAACTTAATCTTTATTTTGTGGTAATAAAATAAAATAATAACGCTTAAAGTGACGCCACCAAAATCCAAACTTAATCTGTGTGTGGTGGTAATTAATGGTGTATAAGTTTCATAACATTTGTTTGAGACAAACTCAAGTTAGAGAACGGAAACCAATTTTGGGACGTACGTACAGACGAACAAGGGTAAAACTTAATGCCCCCTCCACTACAGCGGGGGCAGAAAAATTGTTGATGAAAAGTGGCAATTGTTACCTTTCATACCTTAAGTTTCGTTCATCTGATTCTGACCAATGCTTATATACTAAATATCTATTTATATGCCGCTATTATTGTTGTTGTTACCAATTATGTAAATCAATTGTATCTGATTTTATGCCCTTTATGGGCTCTGTAATTTGGGAAATAAAAAAAAAATCTATTCATTGATAAAACGTAGTATGGACTGGTCCAGTGTCCAGTTTGCAGGTCATTTAATTTTCTGTACACATTCATGCACGCTCTGATTTAATCAATATACTCGTACGAAAAAGCATGAACAGTTTGAAGGTAATCTAATAATAACTTAATCCAATCAAATTGCATAAGATTCAATAACAATGTCAAGTCCACATCATAATGAGTAATAGAGGTAAACTGGGTAGGGAGAAAATGACAGATATTTCAAGTTAATATTTATGCAATAACGAATTAAAATTTGTCAACCAAAAGTTTTGATACAATTTCAAAAACATGTCGTTCTGTATGGGTATAGTTTTCGGATCTTTCATTAGCGTATTTAAGGCTATAAAAAGTTTGGGCTTCAAAAGTTCACACAATTATTGACTTTATACAGAAAATTCGTCCTTGTAAAACATTTAATAGTTCACAAATGATACGCGATTTTAAAGTAAAATTATTTCTTAAAACACTGCAAAAAATTTCATTCATATTGATAAAGTGGTATCGTCATAAAGTGCGTTGAAATGAACAGTGGTATAGCAAACATCGAATTCCCTCACAAAATGTTATCACACACTACAGTAAGGGGAGTCAGTTAAGTTTGTCTATTTTTAGATACTATACAGGTAATCGATTAGTGTAGTGATTTTGATTTTGATTTTACGATAAATTCATGAATGAACGATAATTTTATGAATGAACATGAGCACCTGACCTCTTTCTTAAACACCTATTAAACATATAAAACCGTATTTAATAAGGAGATAATTCAGTCAAATTTTCAGTACTAAATCAACAACTGAAATGATTCCATTTTTTGATGAAACATCGTACGAACGGAGAACGGAATCGCAGGTATACAAATGCACTTTTTTCCCTTGTAATGACCGCGGATCTATAATTTTTATAGATCGGTTGAAATCCCAAAACTAATTTGCATAATGGAAATTTAGGCGATAGCAATACATCGGAGTGACCTCAAGGTCATCCTCTGTAAAAACTAGACAAAGTGATGCCCCCTCACTCCACTCTGAAGTAACTGTATTATAACAAAGTCAATGTAGGACTTTCTTTGAGATATTACTGTGTCTGGGAGACACAAATGATGCCCCTGAAGATGCAAAGTGTTATTTTAAAATACACAAAGTTGAGCATGGGAGCACATAGGTTACTGTAGGAGGAGTTATCCGGAAACACTATGCACCTCTTATGACAAAGTTCAACTATCTCCCAAAAGAGCAAATAGTGATAAAAATCAAAACCCTGACCACATGCACACCTTTAATATATGTACAAATAGCCAGCAAAGTGAAAACTTCCTAGCAATCAAACTGTAGGAGGATATTTTTCTGGAAACGATATGCACCTCTTTTGCAAGTAAATACTCCAAAAAATGACAAAGTTCAACTATCTCCCAAAAGAGCAAATATTAATAAAAATCAAAACCCTGACCACATGCACACCTTCAATATATGCACAAACAGCCAGCAAAGTGAAAACGTCTTAGCATTCAAACTGTAGGAGGAGTGATCCGGAAACGCTATGCACCTCTTATGCAAGTAAATACTCCAAAAAATGACAAAGTTCAACTATCTCCCAAAAGAGCAAATATCCATAAAAATCAAAACCCTGACCACATGCACACCCTCGATATATGTACAAACAGCCAGCAAAGTGAAAACTTCCTAGCATTCAAACTGTAGGAGGAGTTATCTGGAATAACTATATACCCATAATGGGACAGACGGATGGAAAGGACGGAGGGACGCACAAAGGGTCGGACGGACGGACAGGGGTAAAACAATATGCCCCCCAACTTTCAGTTGTGGAGGCATAAAAAATGTTTTTTGTTCTTTAAAACATTTGAAAATTATCTTACTAGAGAGTTGAAGACTTGAGAGCAATTTCCGATATATTTAATATTTCCAAGGGAAACACATTAAAAATAGTTGATCGGCACTTATTTTTGAAATTGTCTGAGACATTGCTGTTATATACCTTGATATGAATTTGATAAAAATCTGGCAAAAATTGCACTTACAATGCAATTTTCCAAATATTCAATGTTTCCAATGAGTGTAACTCTTTTAAACATAATTGATCGGCACTAATTTTCGAACTTGTTCAAGACATTGCTAATATTAACCTATGATATAAGGCGTTGCCCGGGGGACAATAAATGACCAACTGCACAAGTTTGCTTAGGAATATTTGCAGATAACTGACATAGCATTTTGCATATAAGATATGACTAAGCTGCATTTAAATTCCGTCAAATGCATATAAAGTAATAGAACAGAGTTCCATTGTCCCCTGTGTTGCACATATTTTATTTGTCCAAGGACAATAACTAAAAAAAAAAAAAATATTCACTGGATAAATGAAGGTTTAAAAAAGCAATTTTCTATACAATTAATATTCTCAAGGGACATAATTCTTTAAACAAACGGAGAATGTGTCCCCATGGACACAGATGATGCCCCCTCTTGCATGCAACATTATAAAGGGACATAACTGAAGAACAATAAAAGTGACGCTACCCAAATTTGAAATTGATCTGAGTTTTAAGGTAATAAGTATTGTGTATAGGTTTCATAATGTTTGGTTGGGGCAAACTTAAGTTACAGAACGGAAACTAAAAATTTAGCAATTTTTCGATTTATAAAGGGGCATAACTCGATAATGATTAAAGTGACGCTACCAAAATTCAACTTGATCTGTGTTTTGTGGTTAAAAGCACTGTGTATAAGTTTCATAACATTTGGTTGAGGCAACTAAAGTAAGAGAACGGAAACTAAAAATTTTGCATTTTTTTCCATTTATAAAGGGGCATAACTCAAGAATGGTTATAGTGACCCCACCAATATTCAAACTTAATCTTTATTTTGTGGTAATAAAATAAAATAATAACGCTTAAAGTGACGCCACCAAAATCCAAACTTAATCTGTGTGTGGTGGTAATTAATGGTGTATAAGTTTCATAACATTTGTTTGAGACAAACTCAAGTTAGAGAACGGAAACCAATTTTGGGACGTACGTACAGACGGACAAGGGTAAAACTTAATGCCCCCTCCACTACAGCGGGGGCAGAAAAATTGTTGATGAGCACTGATATTCGAAATAGTCAGATTTTGCAAGAATTGTTCTGGTGAGAGAGCTATCAAGACCGGACGAGACAGTATTTTTATGTCCCCCACAACGTTTCGCGCAGGAGAAATAAAGTATAGTAATGTGTGCACTTACATGACAATAGACTTGTTAAAGAGGGGACAGTCTACAGTAAAGGTCTCATATTCTCCACCTTCACCACAAACATTTAACTGGAACTCTCTATTCTAAAATGTACAAGCAATAAAAAAAAAACTTTGATTAGTTACTTAGCAAATGTATCATTCAGGTCCATTGGTAACACTCATTCAATTCAGATGACAAATAATAATGTACGTTGGAACAAAGTTGGCTAAAAAAGTAACATAAAATTTGTTTGTTAAATAATTTATGTCAGCTTTTATGTAAAACTATGTTCTATATATAGTGGTTGCCATATTGTCTGTTAAGCAGACTGTGACAAACTAGGTTCTTTCTGTGATAAAAGCATTTTCACTAAATTTGGTGCATAAACAGTCAAAACCAAGTATGACTTAAACTTCAAAGTTTCTGAAACATTAACTGCAAATTTTTCTTCCTCTGTATGATTGGCCATATTATTTATAATATGACTGTTGTCTATTCACCAACTTTTTTTGCTAGCAGGTACAGCTGCAAATTTACAAACAGCTTATGCAAGGACATGAACATCATCTCTAGATATAAAATTCAGACTATTTAGAATTTCTCTCCCATAGAACTGATAATGACTGACATCAGGTTGAAAGTCAGCCATGTTAAAAATAAGAACACAAATCAACTTACAAAAGTTCAGTGTAATTAAATCTTGCCTGATTACAAAATCATGGAACAGGCAGGTACCCATTTCAGAATGGAACATATTTCATATATGAATAATTGGACTAAAAAGTAAAATAACAAAAATACCTAACTCCAAGGAAAATTCAAAACGGAAAGTCCCTTATCAAATGGCAAAATCAAAAGCTCAAACACATCAAACGAATGGAAAAACATTTGTCATATTCTTGACTTGGTACAGGCATTTCTTTATGTAGAAAATGGTGGATTGAACCTAGTTTTATAGCTAGCTTAATAATCTCACTTGCATGACAGTCGCATAGAATTCCATTATATTGACAACAATGTGTGAGCAAAACAAAGACATAATAGGTAAAATTGTCAAAAATTGGGGTATAAATCAGTTTGTGTGAAATGTTTGATATATTCAAATTTATTACTGGTATTTATGTAGTATGACGTAGTTGTGTATTCATACTGCTACTCTAGGGAGAATGTTTAACTGCACAGTCACATTATTTTTGACAGGGAAAGTTATAAACAGTATAATATATATGAAGGAGTATTCCAGAGTCTTAGCAGATAATATTGTCTATCAACACACCTTGCCAATGGCATCAACTTTGCTGAGCAGAACCTAAAAATACCAGGTCCATGATACCTTTTCTTAGGGTACTACAAAAAATGTACATGTGGGCTACTATACCATGTTCCAAGCCATTACGGGGCCTTGGTGGCTGAGTGGTCTAAGTAGTTACTACTGTAATCACTAGCCAGTCAACACTGAGGTTGTGAGTTCGAACCCTGCTTGTGCGGGTGCACTCGACTCCAATCTAAATTGACTAGGATTGTCAGTTTTCCTATCGAAGGTCGGTGGTTTTCTCCGGGCACTCTGGCTTCCTCCACCAATAAAAACTGGCCGCCACGAAATAGCCCAAAAGCGGTGCTTAAAAGTGGCGTTAAAACACCAAAAAATCAAATAAAAAAATCCAAGCCATTACAACATGGGCTGACGGGAGTCAGCTTGGCTGTGCTATATGAATACAGCCCATTCATCTGATTGGAAAACTGTATAGTTGAACTAAAAATGATTGCCATTTACCTGAAAGGTTTGACATATATTGATTCAACCCAATGCTTCCTTATACAAAGTGTCTGTCATGTGAGTCAATTTGAAAAATAAAAAACTTACCACCTGCAATAACTGTGGATATAGTTCTTTTAAACTTCTTCCCAAATGATTCTTAGGATTTAACCCTAAAAAGTAGAAGTTTTTAATTAATATTGACACTTAGGATTTAACCCTAAATAAAATGCTTCGCTGAGCGCAGCCTGATACGAACGCAGAGGTAGAACCCTGAACAGTTGGGGCAAGTTTGGACACAATATTCAAGCTTGATACTGTCTGAATTTGGAATGTGATCAAATTTTTGATATACTTTAGGTTTCTGACACAAAATAAATGTGGTCAAAGATCTTAAAAATTTGAAATGAGACATTTAATTTACCTAGAATGGTCTGATATCCAAAATCTAACAACATGGTTAGATTCAGCATATAAAAAAACTCCAATAATTTAATTTTAGTTGAAATCAAACAAAGTTAAATTTTGGACCCTTCAAACCTTAATATGAACTTATTTGAAAACAGGGCCCAAAATAAAAATCTAAATGCACAATAAGATATTCAGCAAATCATACAGCCGCAATAATTCAGTTTTTGATGAAATCAAACAAAGTTTAATTTTGGACCCTTTTGACCTCAATGTAGACCAATTTAAAAATGGGGCCCAATATCAAAAAAATTATACAAGGTATAATCTTAGAACCCCCAAAAGTTAAAGACTTAATATATTAATCCCATCGAAATTGGTTAAAACATTTGTATTTGTTTTCAATTGAAGATTTCTTGCTATTGCGCAATACTGTGCAATTGAAGATTTCTTGCTATTGTGCAATACTGTGCAATTGAAGATTTCTTGCTATTGCGCAATACTGTGCAATTGAAGATTTCTTGCTATTGTGCAATACTGTGCTATTGCCCAATACTGTGCAATTGAAGATTTCTTGCTATTGCGCAATACTGTCTTGTTGTGCAATACTGTGCAATTGAAGATTTCTTGCTATTGCGCAATACTGTGCAATTGAAGATTTCTTGCTATTGAGCAATACATTGTACTGTGATATTGCACAATACTGTGCTATTTCGCAATACTGTGCAATTGAAGATTTCTTGCTATTGCACAATACTGTGCTATTGTGCAATACTGAGCTATTGTGCAATACTGTGCAATTGAGGATTTCTTGCTTTTGCCCAATACTGTGCAATTGAAAATTTCTTGCTTTTGCGCAATACTGTGCAATTGAAGATTTCTTACTATTGCGCAATACTGTGCAATTGAAGATTTCTTGCTATTGCGCAATACTGTTTTGTTGCGCAATACTGTGCAATTGAAGATTTTTTGCTATTGCGCAATACTGTGCAATTGAAGATTTCTTGCTATTGCACAATACTGTGCAATTGAAGATTTCTTGCTTTTGAGCAATACATTGTACTCTGATATTGCACAATACTGTGCTATTGCGCAATACTGTGCAATTGAAGATTTCTTGCTATTGCACAATACTGTGCAATTGTGCAATACTGAGCTATTGTGCAATACTGTGCAATTGAAGATTTCTTGCTTTTGCCCAATAATGTGCAATTGAAGATTTCTTGCTATTGCGCAATACTGTGCAATTGAAGATTTCTTACTATTGCGCAATACTGTGCAATTGAAGATTTCTTGCTATTGCGCAATACTGTGCAATTGAAGATTTCAAAATTTGAAATTTCAAAAAGTTTGAAGAATAAAAAATGAACCCCCCCCCCCCCCCCAAATAAAAATTGGAAAAAAAAATCCCCCCCACCCCCCTTTTGGAGTAATTAACCCCAACTCAATCCCAGCCTTCCCTTTGTGATATGGAACCTTGTGGTAAAATTTCAGAGAGATCCATACACTTACACATAAATTATTGTCCGGAAACTACAAAAATGCTTCTTTTTGGCCCCTAATTCCTAAACTGTTGGAACCATCACCCCCAAAAAATCAATCCCAACCTTCCATTTGTGGTATTGAACCTTCTGGTAAAAATTCATAGAGATCCATTCACTTAAACTAAAGTTATTGTCCAAATGTGTCTTCGGACGACAACAACGACGCAAACTACATCATAGCATTTACGATGCAAAAACTTTTTGGCGGTTGTATAAAAATGTTTTCAATAGAAGTAAGATGAAACAGAGATAATGATAGATGTATCATATTTCATAATTAAGTTTGATACAAAAATAAATGGACACAGATGATGCCACCGCTTGCATATAACTTTATAAAGGGACATAACTAGAGAACTGTCAAAGTGACCCCACCCAAAATTGAACTTGATCTGTGTTTTGTGGTAATAAACATTGTGCATCATAACATTTGGTTGAGGCAAACTAAAGTAATAGAACTGAAACGAAAAATTTAGCATTTTTGTCGAGCCTGTGACTTCGACATAGGGATAGTGATCCGGCGGCGGCGGCAGGCAGCGGCGTTAACTAACTTTTTAAAAGCTTTATATTTTAGAAGGTAGAAGACCTGGATGCTTCATACTTAGTATATAGATGCCTTATGTTATGAAGTTTCCGTCTGTCATATGACCATTGTCCTTGACCTCATTTTCATGGTTCAGTGACTACTTGAAAAAAAGTTAAGATTTTTTGTAATGTTAATTTCTCTCTTATTATGAGTAATAGGATAACTATATTTAGTATGTGCGTACCTTGCAAGGTCCTCGTGGCTGTCCGACAGTTTTCATCTGACCTCCACCTCATTTCATGGATCAGTGAACAAGGTTAAGTTTTCGTGGTCAAGTCCATATATCAACTACTTTAAGCAATAGGTCTATTATATTTGGTATGTGGAATGATTGTAAGGTGTACATGTCCAACTGACAGGTGTCATCTGACCTTGACCTAATTTTCATGGTTCAGTGGTTAAAGTTATTTTTTTGTGTTTTGGTCTATTTTTCTAATACTGTATGCAATAGGTCACCTATATTTGGTGTATGGAAATATTTTATGATGTACATGTCAGTCTGGCAGGTTTTATTTGACCTTGACCTCATTTTCAAGGTTCATTGCTTAATTTTAAGTTTTTGTATTTTGGTCTGTTTTTCTTAAACTATCAGCAATAGATCAACTATATTTGGTGTATGGAATGATTGTAAGGTGTATATGTCTGTATTGCAGGTATCATCTGACCTTGACCTCATTTTCATGGTTCATTGATCAATGTTTAGTTTTCATGGTTAAGTTTGTTTCTTAGATACTATAAGCAATAGGTCAACTATATTTACTGCATGGATTAGTTATATGGTGTACATTTATGTCTGTCAGGTATCATCTGACCTTGACCTCATTTTCATGGTTCATTGGTCAATGTTAAGTTTTCATGGTTAAGTTTGTTTCTTGGATACTATAAGCAATAGGTCAACTATATTTACTGCATGGAATGATTGTAAGGTGAACATGTATTTCCGGTTTGGTTTATCTGACCTTGAACTCATTTTCTTGGATCATGTTAAGTTTATGTGATACTTGAAGTAAAGCTTTATATTTAGGACTATCAACATAAAATCAATGATCAGTAAAGCAGGCGAGACATTTCAGCGTGTGCACTCTTGTTTCCATTTATGAAGGGGCACAACTCCAGAACGGTAAAAGTGACGCCACCCAAATTCCAATTTGATCTGAGTTTTGTGATAATAAGCATTGTGTATAAGTTTCAAAAACTAACGGCCTGATTTATGTACAAAACAATGAAGGAAACACAAATATGGTACACAGCATCATACAATAACCACTGAATTACAGGCTCCTGACTTGAGACAGGCACATACAGAATGTGGCAGGGTTAAACATGTTTGCTGGCGCTAAGCCCTCCAGTTAACCTGGGACAGTAGTATAACAGCACAACATAAGAACAAACTATAATAAATGAAGAATGTGTCCCCATGGACAAAGATGATGCCCCCCTTGCATACAACAATATAAAGGGACATAACTCAAGAACAATAAAAGTGACGCTACCCAAATTTGTACTTGATCTGAGTTTTAAGGTTATAAGTATTGTGTATAGGTTTCATAATGTTTGGTTGGGGCAAACTTAAGTTACAGAACGGAAACTAAAATTTTGAAATTTTTTGATTTATAAAGAGGAATAACTCAGAACAGTTAAAGTGACGACACCAAAATTCAAACTTGATCTGTGTTTTGTGGTAATAAGCATTGTGTATAGGTTTCATAACATTTGGTTGAGGCAAACTTAAGTTAGGGAACGGAAACTAAAAATTTTGTAATTTTTCCATTTATAAAGGGGCATAACTCTAGAACGGTCAAAGTGACGCCACCAAAATTCAAATTTGATCTGTGTTTTGTGGTAATTAGCATTGTGTATAAGTTTCATAACATTTGGTTGAGGCAAACTCAAGTTAGAAAACGGAAACCAATTTTGGGACGTACAGACGGACAAGGGTAAAACTTAATGCCCCCTCCGCTACTGCGGGGGCATAAAAATCAGTTAAAAAGGGCTCAACTCATCAGATTTATACAAAGCACAAAAAATACATAACAAACTAGATATGGATGATGCCCCCTCTGCTCTGCCATATAAATGAGTATAGTATACAACTGGTAATTGTTGCACTGTATGTAAGACACAAATGATGCCCCAGCCTGACCATAAGAAATCATAAATTAAACACTATGTATGATGATCTATCTTTTATTTTTATTCTGAATGTCCACTTACAAGATATTAGAACTTTCTTAAATGGCATGGGGTGGGGGTGACCCCTGGGGACTAACCCTGTATTACATTTGATGTGCTTTATCATGACAAACCAGAATGTATATGGTTATGGGTTGGGGATCTCGACCATTTACAAGATATTAGAACTTTCTCAAATGGCAGGGGGTCAGGATGACCCCTGGGGACTAACCATGTATATCATTCAAATCATAGTCGCATGACAAACCAGAATATATATGGTTTAGGGGTGGGGATCTTGACCACTTACAAGATATTAGAACTTTCTTAAATGACAGGGGGTGGGGTGACCCCTGGGGACTAACCCTGTATTTCATTTGATGTGCTTTATCATGACAAACCAGAATATATATGGTTTAGGGGTGGGGCTCTCGACCATTTACAAGATATTAGAACTTTCTCA